TAGGCTTGTCATTCTAACTTGTTTCCTCTCGTACCATTCACCTCACCAGCCTTATGGCCTGCCACCCGTTTCTCTTTTGGCCCATTCTGGCCCATTAGCCCAGCGTCACTTCCCTGTTTTAAATTCGTGCCTTTCCTTAACTGATTCGCGCCTAGATTTTCCTTGTTCGCATCCTGGGAAATTGCAACTTCCCTAATCTCCTGTGGTAATATCTCCTCCTCCAAATTTCCAAATCTATTTGATACCCGAATATTCTCATTTCCCTGATTTCTGGAAATTTCCCTTAACTGCCTTCCTGAATTAGATCCCGATTTTCCGGCAGCAAAAGCAACCTTACTCGCCGTCTGTTCTGCTCTCCGCCGTGGACCCCTTACCATCGTAAATCCCTCCTCCGCCGGCGATTTACTTGCTTCATTCCTAGTTTCCGGCAAACTTTGCGTGGCAACGACTTGTGTGCCATGAGATGGTACACCAACATCCTTCTCTTGCACTCTCCGAGGACAGGTGTGAACCAAATGCCCGTAAAGGCCACATAACGAGCATATGTTTGTTAAACCTTCATAGGCAACAAAGTATCTTTCCCCGTTAATCACCACAGTTCCTTTAAGCGGTCTTGCTAAGTTCACCTCCACACAGACTCTTGCAAAACGTGCTCTCTCAAAGTTAAGCGTTGTTAAATCCACTTTTAATGGTTTCCCTAATCCGCTTGCGATCCCCATCAGTATCGCTTTATGATAGAAATTCACCGGAATGTTCGACAATCTTACCCATACCGGCGTCGTAACTATTTCATCTCGCATCGGATCAAAATTCGGGGACCAAGCTTGCACCGTAAGGTAGCTCCCAAAAGCCTTCCACGGACCCCCAGTTAAAGCCTCCATGTACTCCTCCTCCAGTTCAAACCGTATCATGAAGAATTGCCTAGGCATATCCATCACATGCATCGCCCCTTTTGGTTTCCACAAATCTCTGAGCTTCCTGCTTAACACCGGAAGTGCAATATTTCGCCCCAAAACCTTCACCACCATACATTGTTTCCACAATGCATTCATCGCATTCAACACTTCTGCACCAATAGTGATTACCGGCTCCCCATCCTCACCATCTGGAAATTCGAGATGCATCCTTGCCGAGACAAAATCATCTTCTAACCATCTCTCCGGATCTGGCATTCCACCGGCCTTACTCCCCTTTACTCTGTCCACCCAAGACCCAACACCATCCGGAGGATCTCCAGGAGGCCTACCTCTTTCTCCCGTGTCCACCATAACCGCATCTTGATCCCCCAAGTCAGAAACCCTAATCGCCTCCGAAGTCGCCTCCGTCGCCATTCAATTTAATCTACTTTTTAGCTTCATGTGGTAAGTAAGACTATTGTAACAATGTTAATCTTTTTACAGTTCTTCCTCCAATATAAAAAAAAAACATAAAAAACTCTCTCAGACACGATTATCGAGACAATCACAATTTCTCAGATCTCCGACGCCGGTAAAGCTTTTGCTTGCCGGCGTCGGACCACCTCTTCCACTTTCTTCTTCTTCTTTGTTAGCTTTGGTGTTTTGGCTTTGTTGGACTCGTCTTTCCCGACAGTTACCTGCTCCAACTTCCTTTTGAAGAGGAGAGCTTCGATGCCGGTAACCGGAGATTCGTTTCTCACTCAGATCCGGAGAATACGGTCGTTTATTACCGTCTTTGTCTTGTTAGCCGCGGACCGAAGAGTCTCTTCCACTCACTCTGTCACTCTCTACCACTCGACCGTCTCCCTAGCCGCTCCATAGCGTCGCCTTCGCTTGGTCGCCATCCTCCGCTTCCGCCAACCACCCATGGTCTACTACCCTCTCTCTATTACGGGTTTCACCCCCGAAGTAAACTTGCTCCCCTTCTCGGTCTCCTTGATCGGAGAACACATCGCTTCATGTAGTTACCATTGCGTTTCACTATATCAACCGTCTCTCATTATATCGACGGTCTCTGTTCTATCTAAAAAGATAGTTCTGCTCGTGAAGGTTGACATCTCTTTCCGACGAGGCAACTCACCGTCGTCGAGAACTGTCTTTGGATCGACCACGGATCCATTTTCTCCACCATTTATCTCGATCTCTCGTCTAGATCCATCGAATCCGCAAGACGCCAGAAGAGTCCAATCACAGCCGCGGGTGAGATCTACTCCACCAGCCCGAAAAGCTTCTCTGGCGCTCGTTGGTGTGTCTACGTTTAACCTCCGCATCCTCTGGATTGCTTCTAAGATTTTTTGTCGAGGAAGGGTCGAAACCCTAATTGAGATGGGCCAAATCCTTTTCATGGTTTTTGGGCCAGAGTTTATTTTTCATAGATCTGGGCCTAACAAATCTAGAAAGATCTCTGATGGAAATTGGTCTGCTTCTGTTTTCCTAGTTTTTGGGCCAGTGTTTATTTTCCTTGATATTGGGCCTGACGAGCATAAGAAGAATACTAATGGAGATGGGCCAACTTTTGCTCTCCTGGTTTTTGAGCCAATGTTTAATTTTCCTGTTATTGGGCCAGTGGAGCCCAGGAAGACCCTCATGTTTCACTTATGTTTTAGTCAAAAAAATGAGAAGTTGTATTTGCAAAGATTACAAATTAGTTGGTACATTTTAAATGTGCAATCTCTAGACCGTAAAGGTTTTGTTGTCTCAACTTCCTCTATTAAGAGAGACATCTTATCATTTTCCTCCTCTTGGGAGAAACCACTTCCACCTATTTTCTACTTTTGTGGGAAATCGGTTTTATTACAAGCCTCCTATTTGGAGAGTATCATAATACCTTCCTCCTCCTTGAATGATAATAAAAGTCTTGTTAAGGAGGACGACGTTTCTCGAATCTGTCTGCTTCTTTCGAGAACTTTTGTTGAAGAATTACGGTATTGGTATCTTCTATTGGGCGCTGGTATTGGCTCTTTTTCGCGAGATCTCTATCTCGTCTTACTTGCGATCTCCCTTTTCAGGGATTGAGTGTTTCGGCACTTCAAACGCAAGTTTGGAATTTTAAAACCACACGGAATCTAAATAGCTTTTACTGATCATAATTACTTTTTTTGGTGCAAAACATCTTCTTATTTTCCTTGGCTAACCGAACAATAATGAAACATGATTTATAGTTCGCTCTTTTTTATTAGTCT